AACTCCTGGGCTCAAGCGACCCTCTTGCCTCAGCCTCCTGAGTTATAGCTGGAACTGCAGGTGTGCACCACCATCCTCAGCTAATTTTTAATAATCGTTTGTAGAGACGGGCCTCGCCATGTTGTCCGTGTTAGTCTGAAATTCCTGGGCTCAAGGGATTCTCCTGCTTTGTCCATTCGAACTGTTGGGATTATAGCCATGAACCACACCACCCAGCCTTCATTCTTTTCTAACTGCAGCATAGCATAAGATCGTAGCGATGCGCCTGTTCAATCCCTTCTTGATGCGCATGAAAGTGATTTCCAGTTTTTACCATTAGACCAATGCTGCAGTGAATATAAACATGTGCACGTATTGCTATCTATATATCCACGTAACTTTCTTTGGATATGCAATTGCTAGGTGAAATGGAACGAAGATTCTAAATGATGATAAATGTAGGAAGTGTCAGGGATGGTGGTAGAGTCTTGTTTTATGTTTTTCTGTATCCTTACAAAGCTTAACATCGTATCTACCAGTGTAGCTTGGTAAGTAAAAGACCAGGCTCTGGTCTCTGGCTGTCCAGGTTTGTATCCAGGCTTCATCTCTATACCTTAGCCATCTCATCACCATAAAATAATAGCAGGGTCACTGTCATTATAAAGCTTAAATGAGATAATACGTGCAACACAATGAGCATTTAGTAAGTACCTGGAAAATAAGTAAATGCAAGACATACAAGAGGAAAAATGGTAATGGGTTCAGACAATTGTTGAATGAATTGGACTGAACAGAACAATGGCAGTTTGAGTAATCGTTCTAGAAATGGATGTTACAGAACTACTCATGCTTTGCTATCAAAACCCATAGCAACTATTTATAAAATGACTGGCTAATTTTAGAGGTGCAGTATGTAGCCCTGGAGCAATTCATCTCTGTGCAAAATGAACTGGCGCGAACCAGAATCAAACCAATGACCTTGGCTTTTTTGGCCCCACACTTTCCCTAATAGAACTAACTGGCCCCTGCTGCAGCCTTCTGTAATGATCTGTGAGGACAGAGAACAATAGCTCCCCGCAGGGTATACTTGCTCACCACTGGAGGTTGTTAGGTCATTTGGCTAACCAGCCATTAACACTGAAAATGAATAGAAAGTACACGAAGAAATACTTGGAGTAGTGCATAAGGCTTTCTGTTTATATTCTTAGGTTCTAGGCCAGAAGTTCTCATCTTGGTGGCAAGGTTTCTATACCAATACTGGAAGATTCTAAGGTAGTCAACCCTGGGTTCTAGAACCAACTCTGCCACTATTACAGCTTTAAAACCTTGAGCAAATTGTTGGACTTTATTTTATCTTGGGACAGCAAGGAGACTGAAGCAGTTGATGTGAAAGGTACTTTATTGACATTTCTTTCCCTACAGGTAGATATTCTCAGACATCAGGGCTGTTTATTGCACTGAAAAAAATTAAAGTATAAAATCAGGCAATAGCAATACCGTATTTTCAAAATGTGTCAATGAAGTAACGGCAAAAAGGAAATATGAGAAGCTAGACACAGCTGGACACAGTGGCTCACGCCTGTAATCCCAGCACTTCAGGAGGCCAAGGTGGGCGGATCTCTTGAGGTCAGGAGTTCCAGACCAGCCTGGCCAATGTGGTGAAACTCCAGTCTCTACTAAAAATACAAAAATTAGCCGGGCGTGGTGGCACGGGCCTGTAATCCCAGCTACTTGGGAGGCTAAGACAGGAGAATCGCTTAAACCTGGGACTCAGAGGTTGTAGGGAGCTGAGATCACACCACTGCACTCTGGCCTGGGCAACAGAGTGAGACACTGTCTCAAAAAAAAAAAAAAAAAAAATAGTAGCTAGACACAAAAGGCCACATATGATATGATTCCACTCATATGACTTATATGAAATATCAAAAATAGGCAGATTCGTAAACCAGATGGAAAGCAAGTTAGTGGTGACTAGGGGCTGGGAGAAAAGATGATTGGGAGGTGACTGCTTAATAGGTAGGTGTCACCTTTATAAGTGATGAAAATCGGTTGGAACTAGACAGTAGTGAGAGTTGTACAACATCATGAATGTACTGAAAGCCACTACATATACACTTTAAAGTTGTGAAATTTATGTCGTGTGTATTTTATTACAATAAAAAAGTGTCCCCCCAAAAAGAGAGAGGGATGGCAAAATATAGCAGGGCACAGACTCACTTGACACCTGCTTCAAGGTAACATTAGAGGAGGGGTCAGGGTGTGGGTCCTCTGAAGAAGCCCTGGGGATCCAGGGATAAGAGAGTAGACATTAGTGCAGGATTTGTCATCTAACTGGGGCCAGGTCCTGGCCAGGGGCACGTGTAGCAGTCAGTGGGGCTCCAATGAAGAATGAGTATCGCCCCAAGTGCACTGATGATGACCCTCCCTCAGCTCAACATGTTCTTGGCCTCCTCTCACTGTGGTCAAACCCTACCCATCTCAGTCCCATTTCAAAGCCCACTCCCTTCTTGAGCTCCCCCACCATACCCCACACAGAGACACATTTTCTTCTTCTTTTTTTTTTTTCTTGAGACATGTTCTCACTCTGTCACTCAAGCTGGAGTGCAGTGGCATGATCATGACTCAAATTCCTGGGCTCAAGTGATCCTTTCACCTCAACCTCTCAAGTAGGTGAGACCACAGGTGCATGCCTGGCTAATTTAATTACTTTAATTTTTTTGTAGAGATGAAGTTTCCCTAGTTGCCCAGGCTGGTCTCGAACTCCTGGGCTCAAGGGATCCTCCTGCCTCGGTCCCCCAAAGTGCTGGGATTACAGGCATGAGCCACTGCCCCTGTCTACATCTTGTCTTTCTAAAAGCTGACAGTACTTACTCTCTGTGCCATTCCCAGGGCATAAGGCTGCTGCAGCCTTCTAGAGACACTTGTATTCTCTTGCCACCCAAGACCTTCCGCTTCTCTTTGTCTCCCAGCATCCAATACAGTAGCGCTTAGGAAATATTTGTGGCTCTGTGATGGAGTGACTCAGGCAGCCCCATGGGGAGTAGAGTTTTATGAGTTTCATATGAACCATACCATGAAATCTGAGAAATTTACCTCATTGCTCATACTGGAAACCCTTCATTCCACTCAGATTTGCTTGGAGCTGGATGGAATTGTGTTGCTTTTCACACTGAAAATGATCATCTAATTTTTAAATTAAAAAAACGTTTACATAGCACCTACTTCACGTTCGACAGGAATCTCAACACTTCACAAATGTTAACTCACTGACCTTTCCTAACAAACAGACACTGAGAAGTTAAATAACTCGCCCAGAGATCAAAGCCAATAAACAGCAGAGCTGGGCTTCAAATCCAGGTTCCTTGCTTCCAGAGGAGATGCTCTTCAGTTTGTTCCGGTGCCTGAAACTTACAGATGAGGGGTAAAACCCTTCACACGCAGGGAAAAAAAAAAAAAAAAAAAAAGACGACATTGATGTATTTATTTCAAGGGAATTTTTTTTTCTTGCTTCCCCCCTTTCTTCCTCATTCAAAGTAAAATGCTGTAAAGCAGTCTTTTTTTTTTTTTCACACCTGAGAGAAGACAAACGCGGCTCATTTTTGCTTTGGCAGTCAAAATGGAAGAGAAAACTTCTGTGGTTTTTCATCACTGGTGCTTTCGAGATATGAGGGGCGGGCTGTGCTTCTCCCTCTGGCTCACTGGCCCGAGACCCTTCCCCAGGCGTTGTGGCCTCCAGTCCTGGAGACTTAAGCGGGCCGCCTTTCCACTGTGACTCCGGGAACGTGCCCCAGCCTCTCCCTCCTTCCTGCAAATCCAGTCCTTGTCCTAAAGCATCTGAGCGTCTTCTTACGCCTGCCTCTCTCAAAGCTTCTGAGGCTTTACACCTGATTAACAAGTTTGTATCAGGATGGCCAGACCCCGGCGCACCACCCTGCAGGCCCGCGCGAATCCACTACATTTTCATGTTTCGGATGTTGTCCTCCTGACTTGATGCATATTCAAATGTCTCTCTCCCCACGTGGGAGGCCGGAGTCAGAACCTGACAGACCTGCCGTTTACTAACTGGGGACCCAGAACAAATTACTTCACGCATCTGAGTCTCGGTTTCCTCACCGTGAACGGGATTGGTACCTATAGGTTGCGGCGTGGATCGAATGAGATAGCGCAGGGGCGGCACCGGCGCACAGCAGCTCTTAGTTCCTCTTAGCGATGTCTACGTAACACATGCTTGTCTGTTTCCCATTTTTCCCAGAGCACCCTCAAGCTCTCGCGCCACACCAAAAAAGTCCCATCGGGCGCGCTGTAGGTGCCTGTGGGCCCAGCTACTCTGGAGGCTGGGGCAGGAGGATCGCTGGAGCCCAGGAGGTCGAGGCTACAGCGATTGTGCCATTGCACTCCAGCCAGGGCGGCAGAGCCAGAGCCTGTCTTAATAAAAAAATAATAATAATAAAAAGAAAGAAATTAAAGTCCCTATAACCCTGGTTAGAGTGTTCCGGGCCGCTGTCTCTCAGGGCACATTTAGGACAGCCTGAAGTAGCCACTCTTCTTGGGACCCTAACCCTAACCCTAACTCCTCGGCACCCAAAGGCTTAGAGCTCAGGATCTGAAGGAGGCCCGGCTGAGGCCGCTGGGTGGGGCTCTGGGAGGAGGAAATGGGGTTCCCGAGGGAGTCCGCGCTCCAGCTCGCCTCCTTCTGCGAGGACGCCCCCCGCCCGGACACCTGCTGCCCCAGCGAGCGTCGGGGCCGGGCTTCCCAGCGGGCAGTCTCGGGGCGCGGACCCCACTTGCGCGGCGTGGACCCCGGGCTGCCTCCGGCACAGCCTCTGGGAGCCCCGCCCTGCCTCCCCGGCGCGGCCCCGGCGCCCAGCCGCGCCCCCTCCCAGCCCGCGGCGCCCCGGCACCCCTCTCCCTCCCCGGCGGGCTCCGCGGAGCATTGTACTCACATCCGGGGCTGGGTTTTGCTTTAATGCGAAACGTAATTAACCCGGAAAAAAGAGCAGAGGGACGGGAGCGAAGGAGGGGGTACAGTGGGAGACAAGAGCGAGGGGAGCCAGAGGCGCGGAGAGTTTGGCAGCGAGACCCAGAAATCCTCCGAGCGCGGCGGACCCAGCGGCCGGAGGGGCGACCCCACCCGATGTAACGCGCCTCGCCCGAACCCCGGCTCCTGCACGGCGGGGTAAGTTGGGCGCCCTCGCGGGCCCAGGAGTGGAGCAGTGCAGAGGGGCGCGCGGGGGCCGGCGGGGCTGGGGGTGCAGGGGGCGCTCCGGCGGGGGCCAGGCGGCCTAGGCGCGCTGGGGGCGCGCGCGCGCAGGGCTGCGTACGCCGGTCCTGGTGGCTGACAGGCGAGGGGAGGTGGCCGCAGACCCAGGAGGCCTCCTCCAGCCCTCCGGGAAAGCCCCTAGGGCAGCCCATCCTCCAAGTGCCCCCAGTGGCCAAGGTCGCCACCGCCAGGGGTCGGGCTGCGGGGGTGGGGCCGCGGGGAGGGTAGAGGAGGGAGTTCTGCTGAGCTGCATTTTCTCACGTTTGCAGCGGCGAAACTTCTCTGCGGGCTCTGGAGCTGGGGCACCGGCCCCGCAACGACTGCCCAGGCTGCGGGAGGGGAGGAAAGCAGAGAACGTCCCCAGGCAAGTCCCTCGGGTACGGATGGGGCCGTGGAGACTCCTCTTTCTCTCCCCCCACTACCTTTTGACTTGACAGGCCTAGAAGGCTCCCCTAGGACACCCGACCTTTCCTCTGGGTGCAGCCTGGCCTTTGGGCTTCTGGAACTCTAGGCAATGGAGAGGACTGCCCTAAAATGCAGGTTCAGTGCCAGGTTGGGGGAGCCCTCGAGGGGAGCTGTCGTTCTTTCTCTCACCAACTTCTTCCTCACCTTCCAGCTTCCCTTTTCTGCTCCATTCCTAAAGACTATTTCACCAAAATTTTTTAAAAAAAGAAAAAAGAAGGGTGGTGGTGGTGGGGGGGAGCCAGGACGTTTTCAAAGGAAAAGGGTCTCTTACGCCCAGAGAGGGGCGCAGGGCCAGCGGAGGCCGTAGCACCCTCACATCTCCTCCCCGAGGCCAGCCCTGCCCCCAGGCCCTCGCCTTAAGGTTTGGCTTCCTTCCTTCTTGGTGAACACAGGTTCAGGATGTATCTTCCCCTTCTCATTCCTTCTTCCTGCCCGCCCTCTCTTTCTTTAGGGCTCCAAGTGGGGTTTTCAGAGGACGGTAAAAGGCAGAGAGGAGGGAGGGGAGAGCACCCCATCAGGAAGCCAGCTTTGGCTCTGGGGGCTCTGAAGGCTGAGCTGTAGGTGCAGTTGGGGCTGAAGTCCTCAGACTGCACAAATGGTGTTCTTCATGTATCGGACCAAGTCCCATTTTCCCTTCTTTTGTCATTGTTTTTCTTTGGTGGCGAAGACTTCCAAACCTTAAAGCAAAAGATCTTGAAAGAGTGGAAGTTTTTGTTTTCTATATCAGTTGCATTCAGTTGACAGGTATTATACATGCAAGGCAGTGATGAACAAAACACATCTCCTGCCTTATTTATTTATTTTTTCTTTTCCCTTTACCTCTGGAGGGCTGGACCTTGTCTTTTGGGAGCTTACAGGACTTGTAAGCGCACTTGTTTTGAGAAGCCAGAGTAAGCTTTTAGAAAGCATCATCATCATCTCAGATGTTAGCCTTCTTCACTATGTGCCACTTGAAGGCAGATGACTTTTGCACTATCAGAGGCCTAGCTTCTAGTCTGGATTATGGCCAGCCCAACATATGACATGTACCAGGTGCTGAGTAAATGTTTGTTGCATTAGTGAATGAATGCAAACACATGAATTGCCTGCACTTGTCCAAATAGCAGAGAAAAGAGCAGTGTGGTTGATCCTGAAACCTGTAGCAATTTGGATCACCAAGCTGGTACATGGGAGTTATTAGTCCAGATGTTGCCTTTACACCTAAGTATCCTTTGGCCATGCTTGTACATTACAGCACACTTTCTGCAAATTGACTGTGGCACTCCTAGTGGAGTTTTAGCTGGCTGGTAATGGGAGCCTTGCTCATTTCACAGGTGGGTAATTACCTTGGTATTGGTTGGGAAACTGCCCGCCCTTTGCTGAAGAGTTTTTGCATATCTTTATTTTTCCTTGTTATTGGTGCTTTCTTCTCTCCTCTGTGTAAGGAAGTAGGGCCCGCAGATCCCATCATGTCATGATAGTGAGCTGAACCATATTCAGCTCGGTATTTTAGAATGGTTAAAGTAAATCTTGAAGACCTGCAGGTTTTGGTTCTGCAGAAGTGGGAAGGGGAAGGCTGATGAGCCCTATCAGCTGAGCTCCAGAGCAGCCCTCCCACTACCTTGCCAAGTGTTTGCTAAAGTGCTAGGATACTAGGAAGACCCTAGCAGCAGGAAGTGTGTGCACCCACTGGCATTGATCTCCTGTCCTCTTCATGGGACAGATGGACAGGTGGGTGATGCCCCTGCTGAAAGGCTGGATGACTCAGATGAGAGCTCGCTGCAGACCACAGTGCATCAGAATATCTCTTCTGATTCACGGAAACTGCTGTGGCTTGACTTATTCTGGCTGTGATAGACCTAGGGCTTGGGAAAGAGGATCTGGGTGCTGGGATGTTGGGTTGCTCTGCCCCCTCCCTCTCTTTCCACCATGAACAGTTTGGGTTGCCTTACTTTCCATTTGCCATCTGTCTCAGTGAGCTGGATGGGACTCCAGCAATCTAATCTGGTAGGCTTCGGAAAGGAAGGAAGCAGAGCAAATATTATAGTGTGACAGCCTATGGAAAGAGAAGAATCCTGGCCCTGCCTGATATAAGCCCGCTGTTGAGATGGGGAATTGGGCAGGGGGGGAGATAGGGCAGCCGAGAGGTGGGAGGGAAACGGCCTCATCCTGTCGGTGGAGGAGGCCAGGGGTTGGTGCAGTGAGACTCTACTGTTCCTTCTGAAAGCCCCTTCCCTGCCCTGACTCCAGTTGATTGAAGTGATTTGTTCAGCATTAAAGCCTTCTCACTGTAGAGGTCCCAGCCCTGCTGGGGCAGGGGCCCCTGATATTGCCCAGTGTGGGCAAGGCTTGGGGGCTTTGGCCCTGTGGTGTGCCTTTTGCCCACAGTGCCTGGTCAGCTGAGATGGAGAGGATGGGAAGCTGGATCCTCTTGTCCTTATACTCCTGAGAAGCACTGCAGTTAAAGTGTGAGGTTGGGCCTCAAATTTGGCTGGGCCCTTGCAAAACAGCCCTCTGATGGTGTGATTGCCTGTGGCTGGATCAAGAGGCAGCTCTAGGGTTCTTTCCTTGGAAACTGATGGCATGTCTAGGTTTCTGTTAACTCTCAGGGTAGCCTGGCCAAGGAGTCAGTGGATTGCCCGGACTTTTTGTTTTAAACCCCCTGGATAAATTTTTTTTGGACAGTTTCACTCTTGATGCCCGTACTGGAGTGCAATGGCATGCTCTCAGCGCACTGTAATCTACGTGTCCTGGGTTCAAGTGATTCTCCTGCCTCAGCCTTCTGACCAGCTGGGATTACAGGCATGCACCACCACTCCTGGCTAATTTTGTATTTTTAGTAGAGATGGGGTTTCTCCATGTTGGTCAGGCTGGCCTTGAACTCTCGATCTCAGTTGATCCACCCACCTCGGCCTCCCAAAGTGCTGGGGTTACAGGCATGAGCCACTGCACCCAGCCGAGAATTTTTAGAGATGTGAAATGGGGTGGCTCTTGGAGTAGAGGGAAGAGTGAGGGGAACTGATGCCTTTCCCTGTGAGAGGGATGTCAGAGTCACAGCTTTTTCATTGCCATTTGCTCATTGGCGTTGGAGGATGGAGGTGCCCATGCGGCAGCTGCCTGGGCAGCTCCTGCCCTAGGTTAAGCAACTTTGCAGTGGTCATGATGACCATGTGCTCCTTGTTAGGCACCCACACATGCAGTTTAACAACAACAATATTTACCCAATGTCTGGTGTCCAGCGCTTTTCACAAACTGTTTCATTTAATCCTCACAGCAGCCTTTGAAGTAGGTAAAGCAATTATCTCCATTTTGCAGATGAGGAAACAGACCCTGAAGAGTTAAGCAACTTGTCTGGGTTTGCATCCAGGTTTGTCTGGCTTGAGACTCATCATCTTTCCCTTCACTCCACTGCACAGATGGGATGGGTAACTGAAATCAACACACCCTTTTGAAGGGTCATCTTCTTGCAAAATATCCCTCAAAAATACTCTCATTGGGCTGGGGGTGGTGGCTCACACCTGTAATCCCAGCACTTTGGGACACCGAGGTGGGTGGGTCACTTGAGGTCAGGAGTTCCAGACCAGTCTGGCCACCATGGTGAAATCCCTTCTCTACTAAAAAAAAAAAAAGAAAATAGCTGGGCGTGGTAGTGCGTGAAGCTACTAGGGAAGCTGAGGCAGAAGAATTGCTTGAACCCAGGAGGCGGAGGTTGCAGTGAGCCTAGGTCATGCCACTGCATTCCAGCCTGGGTGACAGAGCCAGACTCCATTACACACACACACACACACACACACACACACACACTCATATTGGCTGGATGTAGTGGCTCATCCCTGTAATCCCAGGCTTTGGGAGGCTGAGGTGGGAGGTTCACTTGAGGTTAAGAGTTTAAGACCAGCTTGGGGAATCTAGTGAGGGCCCCATCTCTACAAAAAAAAAAAAAGTGAAAAATTAGCTAGTTGTAGTTGGTGTGTGTCTGTAGTCTCAGCTACTCGGGAGGATTTTTTGAACTCAGGAGTTTGAGGTTATAGTGAGCTATGATCGCACCACTGCACTCCAGCCTGAGCACTAGAGCAAGACGCTGTCTCTAAAAAAAATTTTTTTTTAAATACTCAATAGTAGTTATTGTCACCTGCACATTGTCCTTACCACACCCAGCCCCTCCTCCTTCCCTAAATCAGAAGCACTTGTCTTTAGAGGGACACAGCTAGGCCATTTACACCGCCCCCTCACCACTCCCCTGCCCCACCCCCAGCACTTTGCAAAAGGCCAGTAGGTCGGGGAAATGATGTTTTCTTTTCATTCTCTTGCTGCCCGTGTATTAGTACCCTCTGGTTGACATGGTCCGTTATAAAATGAAGATTAGAGTTTCTGGACTCGCAGCTGTTGTTAGGGAGCCCTACAGTGAAACTGAATTTCTTGTGGGGGAACTTTCACAATTCTGAAAGTTGGAGATCTCAGCTTTTACAGGC